TAATTTTTTCCTACTTAAAATATTTTTATTTAAAAAATCATCAATTTTTGGTAAAAATATTTTTTTAGCAATATCAGCAGAATCTGTAGTGCCATCACCTTTTAATTCCTGACTCTTGTGATTTAATGTTGCTGTTTTTCCTTCATTAAATTGGCTAGGATTTTATACACATTACTAATTTTTCAAAGAATCAATGTCAGACTATGTGGCTATCCTATATTATACATATTTTTTTCTTTTTTTTAAATTTTTTTTTTTCAACGTTTATTTATTTTTGGGACAGAGAGAGACACAGAGCATGAACGGGGGAGGGGCAGAGAGAGAGGGAGACACAGAATCGGAAACAGGCTCCAGGCTCCGAGCCTGACGCGGGGCTCGAACTCACGGACCGCGAGATCGTGACCTGGCTGAAGTCGGACGCTTAACCGACTGCGCCACCCAGGCGCCCCCATATTTTTTTCTAATTAAGTAATTTTTATCTACATTATTTCTTTTCTGTTTTTGTTGTTTTGTGCTTTTTTTTTTTTTTTTTTTTTTTTTTTTTTTTTTTTTTTTTTTTTTACTGTTTATTTATCTTTGAGATAGAGAAAAAGAGTGTGAGTCAGGGAGGGGCAGAGAGAGAGGAAGACACAGAATCTGAAGCAGGCTCCAGGCTCTGAGCTGTTAGCACAGAGCCAGACCTGGGGTTCAAACTCATGAACCACGAGATCATGACCTGAGCCGAAATCGGATGCTTAACCGATTGAGCCATGCAGGTGCCCCCTGAGCACTCAGGCACCTCATATTTTGTTTTAACTTGTTTTCTATTTCACATTATTAAGAAGATTGTTATTAAGATCTAAATGTTCCTGCCTATCTTCTTCATATTTATCTGTAAGGTTTTGTATATCCCTCTAAGTACTACTTTTTCTTACCAAGCTTAAATATATCATGATTCATTATAATTTAGTTCAATTGAAATCAAAATTTTATTTGATTTCTTTTTTATCAGTATGTTTTTAGGAAGTGTTTATTTCTAATGTCCATGCCCATAAAGGTTTCTAGTTATCTATCACTTATGAAATCAATAATGATAGATAACCAGAAAATTCTATGGGCATGAACACTAAAAATAAACACTTCCTAAAAATCTATTTGATTTCTATATTAAGTTGAATATGATCAAGAACATATTTTGAATGATTTTAATCAATGAATTTGTTAAGGGTTTATTGATGTCTCAACTATTGTGACAGTTAGTGGCCCTCTACGTATTTGTCAGAAATAGCATGTTGTTACCGTTAATGCTATTGTGGAAAGTTTAAGGATTAAAAAGTATATTAGATTATGGTACATTTTACAGGTTAGATATTCAAACTCTATCTCATGTGCCTTCTAGATAGAGATGTTGGAAAGTTCAAATGTCTCCTGCCACACAGGTTCTTGACACAGATTTTGCTCTACCAATTAGATCTATACAAGCTCAGAATTTAGAAGGGCACAATGACTTGGGGATCAACTTTCTGACCATTCTTTCTACCAGTAGAAAAAAGTTGTAGAAACATGTGGGCTTATTTCTGCAGTGCTGTTGAATCCTCAACTTCCTAGAAAAGTGATTTTGATGGATGAGGAAGTAGTGACATTTTTTTGCTTCTGTGTATCTGATCCCTTGGACCATAGGTCAGGTGCTGTACTTTTGAATTGTATCCCCAAAAGTAGTATATCTGTGTGAGTTTATCCTAAATTTCTCTCAGGATCATTATAAGAGTGTCATCCAGAAATTCTTCCAGCCTTTCCAAATTTGATAGGCCTCAATTCACCTTAATTAATATTTTCCTGTTTAATGTACGTAATGTACTTCTGGGGCACTTAGGTGGCTCCGTCTATTAAGAATCTGATTCTTGGTTTCAGCTCAGGTAATGATGTCATGGTTCATGAGATTGAGCTCCACATCAGATACTGCCGACAATGTGGAGCCTGGTTGGGATTTTCTCTTTCTCCCTCTCTCTCTGCCCCTCCTTTGCTTGCCACTCTTTCTCTCTCCTTCTCTTATAATAAATACATATTAAAAAAATAAAAACATGAAATACCTAATCTGCTTTTTCTTCCTACACTGACCAAACTTTTACTAATACTGTATTATAATGAGAAACTCTTACCCTATATCATTTTGTATTCCATACAGAGGAAAATTCTAAATAAACTCTAGAAATAATTTTTAATTAAAAGGGGATTTAAAAAGTAGTATTACAATTAATTTATGGAAATATTTAGGATGAAAATATATAAAGCTCAAAATACTAGGCTCATTAAATAGAGTATTATGCCTATGGTTATTGTTTTTTTAATTTTTTTTATGTTTATGTAATTTTTTGAGAGAGAGAGAGAAAGACAGAAGCGCAAGGAAGAAAGGGGCAGAGAGAGAGGGAGACATAGAATCTGAAGCAGGCTCCAGGCTCTGAGCTATCAGCACAGAGCCTGACACGGGGTTCAAACCCACAAGCCACGAGATTATGACCTGAACCAAAGTCGGATGCTTAACCAACTGAGCCACCCAGGCGCCCCTATGTCTATGGTTTTAATGCAGTCCTTTAGTCACAAAATAGTTAAGATATTTTAAAATCTTTTACTAAGGAAATGTAAAATCATTTTATTGAGTGCTGTTATTTCTTCTCTAATAGTTTAGTATTTGAATATAAGAAAGCATAGAATTAGCAAAATATTATCTGAATCTGAGTTTGTGATTTACAGGGTATTTGTCATATCATGAAATATGTCTACATCAGACCATGGGGGAGGGGAAGGGAGAAAAAAGTTACAGAGAGGGAAGGAGGCAAACCATAAGAGACTCTTAAAAACTGAGAATAAACTGAGGATTGATGGGGGGTGGGAGGGTGGGGAAAGTGGGTGATGGGCGTTGAGGAGGGCACCTGTTGGGATGAGCACTGGGTGTTGTATGGAAACCAATTTGACAATAAATTTCATATTAAAAAAAAAGAAAAGAAATATGTCTACATCAAGAAATATAGATAAACCATATCTTGGAGTGAATTTTTATCTTTTTTTAAAGCTTAGTGAATGTAATTTACTACGTAATTTAAAATATTCACTTATCTAACACTTTTCTCATATAGTACTACCTTTTAAATCTGTTTCTATGTACCTACCAATATGTATGCTATGATAATTACCAGAAAGTTTTTCTTTGTCAATGAAGAAGACTAAGTCCAAAGAAATTTCCCAAAGCATACATACAACCAAAGGGAAAAGTTCCTTGTATTTGGACTATTATTAGATTATTTGTTTGTGTCTGACGTTACTGCAGTCCTAATGGACAACAGCCCTGGAGCCTGTACTTACGTCTCTATAATTGACTTTATGATTACTCCTCTCCCAATGGAATCCATCACAGAGGATGAGCAAAACCTTAATGTTGAAATATCCTGAGGAAAGATTGCATAGGACTAAAATAAGTAAGACCATCATAAACAACCACTGTTGATACTGGAGCAAATGATGATAGACTATAGATGACACAAAATTGCTATGGTCCTTTAATACTCATCTTATTTTAAGATGTATAAAGCCTACTAGGATTTAAGAAAGGAACTCTCCATTATATATATTCCTTAAATATACTTGACCTGCCCAAAGAGCCAGATCCCATGAATTGATGAAGTTGTGGTAGAAAGGCATCATTGTGTTGTAAGTATTAGAATGTTCATTAACTTCTCCCCACTTCAGAAAAGGAGCTGATTATGGCATGTTTTAATTAAACAACTATTAGTGGAAGTAAAATATTTATAATGAAGCAATAAAAATTCCTTTATTTTGGGGAATGGACTTGATCTGAGGAAATGCCCATTTATTTAGAATGATCTTTAGAGCATTTTATTTGATTTGGATTAGTGGTTTTTAAATTTTATTAATTTTAACACACAAATAACTTATCTATTTTTATTCTATTTTCAAAGATGGATACAGTAATAGTGAAAAGGAAAGAAATTGAGGTAAATAAGGTAACAATATTTTAAAATATATTTATTACTGTCATGTCATGTAATGATTCAAACACTCACTTGGCTATCACAGGCTATAAACATTGTCATAGCGATTACATGTAATATCTCTATTTTAGATCCTAGTAACACTCCTATTTTAGATTGTGAAAATTATTTTACTATAAAAATGTTAAGAATATAAATTTCAAATTTGATTGAAATTAGACAATATTGTATGCTACTTATTGGCTGAACTCACAGCAAATTTATGATTTAAGTACAGTGACCCAGAAAATTTTTTCACTGCTTAGTCTCATAAGCCTAGTATTATGTAATGCAAATTCTTGATTCTTCATGACATTAAAATTGTTTTATGTGCCATAGTTAATTAAGATGTAAATAATTTATTCTACATTTAAGAAATTATTTATGCCACTAGAAACAAAGCCTAGATTTCATTTGTTTATTTTGTCTTGTGCCTCTCAGCAGGTTTCTGCCATGGGTGACAGGGGAACAGACAATCACTC